ATTATAAATAATAATAAATAATTACTTCCTAGTTACTCCGGAAGAAGGTAGTAAACTCTGGAGAGTTTTTACCACACAAATTATAATTTACCAATTATAAAAAAAAATCTACTTTTTAAATTTTATGTTTATTTTTATTTAATTTGTTTTAGAAAATAAATAATTGTTTATCGTACGAAACAGTTGTGGCTTCAGGCAAGCTGCTTGACCCTTCCCATCCCTTGTAAATTCCCAGTTTTAAATGGATTCTAAATTGGATTAGAACAATTTTTTCTATAAAAACTGAAAATAGCAAATAAAATATATATTGCCTAATTATAAATATCTATATAATTACAAAATTAGGGTATAATTATAATACACTAACTAATAAGTATATTAATTATTTAAAATAAGTACTTAATGAAAATATTACAGATTTGGGAATATTACATGAAAAAATAAAATTTGTCTTTCGAAAAAATTAAACAAATCATACTAATTTTAAAAAATATGTATTTTATTTACCCATAAAAATTTGAAACTATTATATAGAAGAAAAGAAAAATTAAAATGTTTGTCATGTAGATTCCCAAAATAAAATCAGTAAAATCCAACAGACTCATATTAATTTTAATAAATATACAGTTAATTGATTTAACTTTTAATTAAAACTATAAATAAAAATATAAAAAAATAAATAAATTTTTAATAAAAAACATGTAAAATAACGTTACGATATAAGTAACAAAAATACAGAACTTATCGTGAAAAACTATTTTTTACTAGTTTTGTGTTATTCTCGATATATTAGGGACTTATACAAAATGCGTTTTACCAGTGCAACCAGCCGTTCTCAACCCCCCCTCCCCTGAACTGAACGGCGGAAGCAAGAAAAAAAAAACAGGATATGACGCCAAATTACGCGGGGTGGAAGTCGGGGTCATACATAATTCATAAGCCAGCGTAATAATAAAAAAATGTTTGCATAATTTCCAAAAACCGAGCGGGCAGGGCGAAAGCGAAGAGTCCAGAAATATATTTTCGAGATGAGAGAACCACCTAGGAAATACTTACCTTCCTATAGGGAAATGCCAAGGAAATATCGCGAAATACTGGGAAATAAGGGGTAATGCTAGGAAATATGGGAAAATACGAATTAAATATAGGGAAATACTAGGAAATATGGGGTAATCAAGGTAAACACGAAGAAATACGGCGAAATACGACGAAATACAGGGAAATAAAAATAATTTTCAAAAAAGGTTAGTATTTTTACAGAAGTATATTCAGATAGATCTGTTTCAGTACGGTTTCTTCGAGGGGCAAATCACTAACCAAAATTAGTACAACAGATTTCACATAAACATATGATTTCACACAATTCACGAAGTTTGCAAAGATTTCACCGGTTTTGAAAAATACTTTTTAAATTATGTTTAAATTCTTTCAATTTCGTCATAATTAAAAAACCATTATGTCAAAACAATATATAAAAAATACAATAAAAACTTTTTTTCAACAAGTGGGAACGAATATTGTGATTATAAGTTTCATAAAATCTAGAAAACGGACGAAATTTAATTTTCTTGATATGTTCTTTTTTCAAAAATTTAGCTAGAAATATCGATGACACAATTAAGGCCAAATATCCAAATGAAACATATCAAATAGTTTCACAAATAATTATTTAATCAAATATTGGATGTTTTTAGATTATTTTTTTGTTTACTATTGTTGATTAAAAAAATGTCTCTAATGGGGTATTTTGTTAAGAAAACTTGGGCTTTAGAATAATATGATATAGTTTTATCAAGTCATATTTAACTGGTAGACAACAACATGCCACGTTAGATGACAGCGTTGTGCCTCAAGGGTCTTTGCTGGGACCATTATTGCTGAGCATGGAGCGCAATACTTCGCTTTTGCTGATGATGCTGTGCAAGTTCACACAGACGGGGGAGGAAAAAGCATTGAACAATCTTATCCTTATTTAAGTTGGCCATATTATAATAAACTAAAAATCCTACCGATGAAACAAAACTTATAATATTTAAACAAAAAAATAAGCAAACCCAAACATTTAACATTCGAATAAATAATCAAAAAATAGACTAAGTTTAGCGTATGAAGTACCTAGGACTGCTAAATTTAACTGGTCCCAGAATGTTGAATATAAAATATAATAAAAAAACAAAAAATAATGCCAGTCCAGTAATATTCAGTAATATTCAGATGTAGAATTAACTTCACTGAGAAAATGAAACGTAGTATCTATAATATCTTTTTCCTCTCACATTTTGAAACTATTGCTTAATTATTCTATTATATAATGAACTTGACACTCCGAGACTTAGCACTATATTGGAGTTTGAAATTCATTTACAAAATATTAAATAAAACACAGAAATCTAATGTAACTCTCATCAAAACTAACGATTAGCATGATTGCAATGCTAGATCTCTAAATAATATTTATGAAATGTGTTCAAGTGGAAATAAACCGCCTTCTGCTAGCTAGCTATGAGGACATACAATAAGGTTCCAGAAAACATGAGAGAGAATTTGTTATTATTTTAGTGTAATGTTATAGAGAAATAATGAAATGTTTCCAGAAAAGAAATAAAATTTTCATGACAAATTACAAAAAAGAAACAGCATTCTGGCAGAAACGGAACAATTTCTGAATATAACAGTACAATATTTTTTGTTTTTAAAATAAAGTATCATGGCCCGCTAGCAAAACCGAATATATTTTTTTCAAAACTTAGGATTAATATTAAACGCAACCATACAGGTTAGTCTTGACAAGCTCAGTCGTATCGTCCAAAAATATAGAGTTCTCCAAACGATATACCGCTTTAACTACATAATCCGGTATTTAACATGGGCAAAATTTTATCAAGATCTCAAATATCTTGTCCTCCACTCCTAATTTTTTCTTGATTCAACATTCAAACATTACGCAACTCTTTATGTAAAGTTTTAATTGTTAGAACAGCATTCTTCTGATACGTATCGTATATCAACCGTCTTACTATTCCGGCATGACAAGTAGGCTTTTTGGGAATCCACAATCTTTCCGCGTTTTTCTTTCTTGAACACCATTCACAAGTATGTCACGTACTGTGCCATACTGTCTTTTAGTCATCTCGAACATTAATTTTCTCGAGTCAATCAACCCCCACAAATCAACCAATAGCAAACTGGGAAAACATCCGTTTTAAACCGATTATCTACATAAGATTTTGAATTACTTTCCTAGGAAAACATCATGTTCAGCCCTTTAATTGGAAATCAGTTTAAGCTTAAAAATGTGTTTGTTTTTCAGATACCAAGTAGGGATTGTTTTAGGAAGATTTCTAATAATATAACGGTTTAATCAAAGAAAATTGCCCTACTATTAAAATACAACAGTTCTTGTCGGCTAACATATTAAATACGGCACTGGCTTGTGGTACACGTGCTTTAAAACTCATTCCGAAGTCAAAACCATAAAAAAACGGTATATCGTTTGGAGAACTTTACACGGTGGCCATTTAAATTGAAAATAATGGAAAATATAAAAAATCTGCGTATACCCCGAATTTTAAGCAATAAACGGCAACGAACCCACTGTTAGATTTAGTCACCAAAAAGTGTCGCGAAACCTCATACTAATAAGCGAGATACCCGGTAAAACCGTCGAAAAACAAACGCCCGATACATTAGGTTTCGCCCCTAAAAAAAGGTCACCGAAAATGTCCGTCCCGTTCGGACCACGTTCAAACCGCCGAAAAACCGGTCCGCTTATTTTTAACCAAACTCATGGAGTGGACCAAAGAGTACCAGATAGAGGGGAAGGTCGCGTATACTGTTACGAATGCTAAAGTATTAAGTACTGTCATGGCGGTTACTACAGTAGCTTGTAACGGATAACAGCGCTTTATTTACTTAGTACCTTCTAAAGTAAGAAAAATTCAAATGTTAGCCTAAATCTTACCAGAATAATGGAATAGCCCATTATGCATTAGTAGCAATGATAGGATTAATAAATCAGTGAAGCAAACGATTGGATATTGGTTGGTTCATCAGATTTCAAAAAGATTGATACTGTAACATAAAAAAAAATTAAAACCAGAAAATTGTCTAAATTCTCAACTTCCAAACACCAATGAAAAAACCAAAGCAAAGTGACCACCAAAGAGGAAAAATACAGGATGAACTACCGTTAAAAAACTCAAACCAAAGTGAGGACCAATAAAAAAGAAATTAAGGAAAAGTTTGAGTAAAATATATATATTTTAGTTATCTACGGTAGTCATGTAAGCAAAAATATTTTTTATGTATTATTTCATTGTTAAACTCCTATATACGTTGAAGTATATTTTCTATCTATATTTCTTTTATTAAATTATATTTTTTCATATTACTAAGTGGAATGAGAGATTTTTAGCTGTTACAGCAGTGATAAGTTTTTTGAAAAATTTTATTATTATAAGTAATAGGTGTCTTTGAAGAAAACTTTTATTATTATGAGATAACTTTATTTACACCAAGTTTTATATTATGTTTTTAAATAGAATAAATTTTATCGTATATCAAATGATTTACTAAAAAAAAGCGTGCTTTTAGCTGATTTTTACAATATAATTATCGTTATAATTATAGTTTCATTATTTTAAGATTATCATTAATCTTTTTTTATTACTATGCATTTTCAGATATTTATTAATTTAATAAATTTCAATAATTTTCAACTATTTCGACTTTTTTTTTCACATTTCATTTTTCATTTCATGACTGGACACAATCACTAGAGGCGTTGAAACTCGTGTACCTATGGTTTTCAACATTGCCACTAATGGGAGCTTTCCCCTCTATCTTATACTCTTTGGAGTGAACACTGCAAGCCCGGTCGCGGTTTCTTGACCCTGCCTAATAAATTCCCATCGCGGGTTAAGAAAAATTCGAAAAACTTTCACGTCAAAGAGCGCTGCGCGTCTAACGCCCCAAGAAACCGGTTACCGCCGTGAACTAACCTTGAATATCGAATCCAGTCGCGGCGATCAACAAAAGCGCGGCCGCCAATTTCATTTTTTCGGACGTCGAAAACGCAGGAACCGCGGCAAATTCACTGAAAACACTCCACCAAATCGCGTCCACCTCCCTTAGAACATATCCTCGCACTTTTAATCCGCTCGATTTGATGCACTTTCGGACAAGTTGTACAGACGCCGCGTCTCCCGTCTCGACAGGTGGCAATCGCTATCAACGCCTACCTGATGAAAAGTCAGACTTCCCAAACGAACCGCGGCCAACTGAAATTCAAACTGGAAATGGGCCGTTCGCGCTTCGCGCGCGCGCCACGTTGCCGGTTTTCCCTCTTTTTCTCAAATCTACGGAAGCTTCGGCCTTCCCAATTGAAATTTATTGATTAAGTGTTACTTTTTTTATGGTAAATTTGTCCTAGAAGAAAAAACAAATAGGGCGACGAATTTTATAACACAAAATGAATAGTTCCTGCCCATAGTATTTTTATTTAATTATTCAACAATCATTTTTTATTATACTACTTCACCGACTTGTGATTAAAAAATTTATTACTCTTATAAGCCCTGTAGAATAAGCAAATGGTTGGTTGCCTACTTTTTTGTTGCCCTTAGTAATAAACCTTATATCAAAATATATTTTTTTATGTCCAATCCGCCGGCATAGGGTTGCCTATGCGAAACCTGCCCTGAATCCTGGTTGCCGAAGTTTAAAAATCGAACATTTGAAGCGTATCGACATGCTGTGCATTTTTTTTATTCATAAAATTGAGGATAGCAATGAATACTATGTAAAAAAGAAAAAAAATACATACAAAAATGTGAATATATGAAAAACTTTAATATAAATATCAATATAAAACATTTCGTCTACATCTAAGGACATCTGAGATTCGAGAGCGAAGTTACTGTCTTCATCAGCTACTGATGCGGAGGAACGAGCACTGGAATCCAAATATCCGAGATTCTCATCAGTTGTAGAACTATCAGCCTAAAATTTAATTTATGTGATGAATAAAAATGTAAAATATGAAAAAAAAGGGAAAAAACGATTAATCTTTCGTTAATTTATAAAAAAAATAATATTTTATTAGAAATTTCAAAAAAAAAATAATAAATTTTTCTGAAAAAATTTCAGGAATATATAAGTATACAAATTAAAATCAAATAGATGTTTGAATAAAATAAAGATTAAATTGGAGTACAATTAATAAATTGGGAATCAAAATAAAAATTGAAGTACAATTAATGAATTTGGAATAAAATTGGAGAACAATTTATAAATTAATTGGAGTACAATTTACAATTAATTGGAGAACAATTATTATATTTAGAATAAAATTGGAGTACAATTAATAAGTTTTTAATAAAAATAAAACTAAAACAATCTCTTATTTATAACTCGACAAATGATAACCAACAGCATCAAGAGCCAAATTGGTTAAGTTATCATTATATTTGAAATCTTTTATATTGCGAAAATTTAACTTTAATAAACAATTTTTTAAAGTTTCATTAGTAAGGTGAGTTACACAGTTCTCTAAATCACACAAGAAACACTTTTTAGCCATTTTGTATTTTAATATATTTTCGAAATAAAACAACTATTTAACTTTAATAAACAATTTTTTAAAGTTTCATTAGTAAGGTGAGTTACACAGTTCTCTAAATCACACAAGAAACACTTTTTAGCCATTTTGTATTTTAATATATTTTCGAAATAAAACAACTATACGGAGCACGTGTTTTTTGTTTTGAAAAAATGAAATCGCAATATTTTTTAAACTTAAATTTTGATAAAAGGAAAGTATTATCTAAACAACAGATGGTTGAAGGTCAAAGTATGTTGGGATCTTAGACTGTAATCAACTCTCTAGGATCCTAAACTAACACAAATCTTTTCGATAAGTTTATCGATCGAGGGTCGATTTATTTGTGTCTAACTAAATTTTTAATGTTATATATAATAATTATAATATTTTATTGAAAGAATTAAAATTAAATTAAAATTAACAAAATTGGTATTGGTATGTATAGGATTTTCGAAAGCTCTGGCTCTACACTTTCGATAAATTAATTTTGATTGGATTATAATAATCTGCAATAGCTTTTTTTTAGAATTTTTAAGCTGTCCATTTTACTCCACGTATTACGTAAATGGCTAAAAATGTACAAATAACCAGAATTTACAATTTTAATAACATATATTATCCATTAAATATTTATACAAAATAGGTAGATATGAGTTCGATATTTGTTTCGCTTTAACTTAACATCTACTCTGTGTGACTTTTTTGCTGTGTTCAAATAAGAATATTGTTAAGACTTTAAACGATAGCAATATGCTTACGTATTCTGTTTCTTTCATCTTAATAATAGCTACGAAACTAGGCAGTAACCAACATTGCCAATTGGTTATTTAACAAAAGAAGAAGAATGCAACAGACATCATTGGTCAACATAACCACAGATTTTTTTTCCTAACCAATAAATTTGAAATCCCGAGGGAACCATTGCACATGACGGACGTTTGTTCCAGCCCGGCCCTAAAAAAGTTTGAAATCTGTTGAAAAATTGCGTTCAGTGCATCTTTTACTTGAATTGCTAAAGGCGTAGTGCCTATAGTTTTGTGAATTAGTTCTTGTTTTGTGGATTTCTTTTATTCAAGCTGGCATCCAGGCCAGATGGAATCGGATTTCCCGTCGAAGGTAATTGCTGAAGCCGTTAGATGAATCGGCCATCATTTTGTATATGTTAACACCCCTAGAGGATGCTGGACATTGCCAGACCCTTTGTTCATGAAGGCATCCTTTAGGAATTTTGCTGCCTGCTGTTGTAAGCTGGTCGTATGACCTTATGTAGTGGTAGCCATTAGAAGCAATTAACAAATAAAACCTATCATGGCCTTTTTTTCCGGTCAGCCAGGTGAAGTGTCGTGCACAGTTTTCATCTTTTTGGTGTAATTCTTTTCTTCAACTGAATTTGCTGAACTAAATATGCAAGGGAACATACTTTAAAACTATTATACTATACTTATGTGCCCTCCAAACTAGAGTACTTTTCACTTTCATGTAAATGGATCCTATCCGACTAGAGGACTGCCCCAGAGTGATTTATAACTAATCTTTAAGGTGCCCTCACTGTTGAATCATAGGAGGTACCTTTCGTTTCAGTTTTTATATTCATTAGTGGATTGCCCTGAGTTGCTGAGCCAGCTAAACTTTCATGTATTTCACTTACTAACTTCAAAACCAATTTTTTGATTATAGGTCCTCTCTATCGGTTGATGAAATTATTTAATGGCTTCTGTAATGATATTGACGTTTTTTGTCTTAGTCGCTCCCAGTTTACCACATTAATGAAAGGTAAATTTGAAATACTATAATGGATTGTATGTTAGCGCTTTTCATATCATGGCATGTGTGTGTTCGCAGATGATTTTGATTCCTTTCAAATTCAACTAAACTTGTCCCAAGCATCTACTTCCTCTAGCAGTGGTTATTCCCCAGCCTTGGCGCTTTCGCCTTTAGCTAAGAAAACAGCACATGCTATTGCCCAGCATCACACCGCTGCTGACTGGGGATGTCCCGAATACAGACGACTAAAACAAATTAATGAAACCATGAGCTTCTAGAACCAGAATATTTTTCTAGTTTAAATGGAAAGACCCATAACAAAACTCCTCATCCAACCAGTCCCCAGGGCGGTTCCTCATATACATCAGTACTTCAAAGAGAAAGACCTGACACACACAACAAAGGGTATGATAAAATAGCGCACGAACAAATTTTGTTACTCTCAAGTGCAAGAAGAAAAGTCTCATCTATATATCTCATATATCGACATCAAAATCGGAAATGGAAGTAACTCTCCAAGAAAATGGCTGGGAAGAAGTCTGCAATAGGCCTACAAGAAGGAATATGGATGAAAATCGTGTTAACAATATCAAACAATATTTTTATTCTTTGATTCTGCTGGGATGGCAGCCTACCTACCTACATGGGTTAGAAAAAGAAACGGTACTCTTATTTATTGGTTTTAATCTAACAGTAGTTTTTACATAGTGAAACTAAGTTTGAGTTTTAACACAAGTCTTTTATTCATTGGAAAATTTGCAAGGCTGAAAAAAATAAAGATGCTGTCATTAGAGTCATAAGGGATTTTAGGGATTCAGAGTTCTCTTATAAAAGAGCTAATAAACCACATGGTGCTGATGGTACAGCAATTTTCTTGAATAGTAAAACAAAGATTTTTTGAAACAATTAAGATGAAATTTTTACCTATTTAATAAGTTTATGGTTCTGCGGATACCTACAAATTTAATTTAGATATTAACTAATTTCGAAAAGGGTATAACTACACGTCAGCAAAACGACTACGCTTATTTTGTTGGATTACTCAAAATCAATCATGAAGTTCTACTGTCAGTACTACACTATTTGGGGTTTTCAAGTGCTGCAGTCCCTTTTATGCGTAGTTACTGTACTGACCGCTTTCACTTTGTCGCAAAATAAAAGAGAGTCAAATGTTAATATTCCGTGTGGAGTGCAAATGAGAAGTTGTTTACAGGACTGCAAAATTCGTTCCTACGCTGACGACACCAAATATATTTTTCATTTTTACCAGCAGACTAAATGAAACTATAGACAAGGATAGCAAGCGCGTTAAAGAATTTTCAGGCTCACATAAACTTGAAATAAATACTACCAAATATCACCTTATGTTATTTGGTCAATCTAAGGATAAAGTAGACCTCACTTTCGAATACGTATTGAATATGAACATTTAAATAATAACTGCAATCAAAAAGCCCATATAAGCCCATAAATGGTATAATGCTGTTCCCAATAACATAAAGAAACTGATGCCACAGCTTTTAGAAAAAAATATAAAACTTTTTATAATCAATCTATTAATCAAAGATAATTAGTAGAAGTAAAATACTATACAGTTTTTTTTTTATGTATGCATGTTAATGAATTGATATATCCAGTATGTATCATAACATATTAAGATACAAGTAGCTATGAAATTAATTATTTACAATAATTATTATTATTATATACTTTCTGTAATGGATCGAGGATTAAAAGGAATCTAAACGCGGCAACGCTGACAGGATTTGAAAGTTCGCATCCGCTCGAGCTCGATCGTGTTCCCTCGCCTTTTTGTTTATTTACCTACTCGCGCCAGTAAAACGATAAGATTTCGCGTTATATTTATTTTTGAAATGATTGTAATCGTGAAGATTCGCTTG